GGCCTTTGTCCCCGAGTGCTCAGGGCTCCCTCCCTACAGTGAGCTGTCGAAGGAGAAGCACTCCAGCCGCGGTGATTGATGCTGGGCGAACGACTCCCAACGATTTTTTTGTGCCCGTGTTTATTTAGCAGGTTTAAGTTTCATTTAATCCCGAGGAAAGGTCCTGGATGTGGACTGCAGATCCACAGACCTGCAGAGGGCCTGCAGGCTTGGTTTGCTTTTGATAAGCGCTGAGACGCTGGATTCTTATTTGAACGGGTTAGGCCCACCCACTGGGCCATGTCCTGTCTCTTCTAAGACCTGCTAAATCTCTTCTCTCCATTTACCTCGCCCTGGCACAGTGAGTCCTCCCACAGACAGCCTCCCGCCCACTCACAAGCAAGCAGTCCTGGCAGGTGCACTGTGGACCCGACAGGGCTCCTTCTAGGGGTCTCCCAGGGGTGGCGTGGTCCTCTGCACAAGGAGGCATGTCAGTGCTGACACCCACAGCTAAGTAACAAGACGCCACCAGCACTAGGTGACCATAACTGGCACAGTGGGGAGAGCAGAGACTGTGCCCAGCTCAGAGAATGCCCAGGGTCAAGGAGGCGGCCAGGCCTGGCACTGGGGAGTCAGAGTACAGTGGGCAGAGCCAGCAGACGCCACAGGACATTTCAATGGGTGTGAAAAATACCTTGATTTCTAAATGCTGACAACAAATTCAATTAAAAGCTTATATACAGTCCAAAAAGCAAGTCAGAGGGCTTCCAACTCCTAACCCCAAAATCTGCCGTCACTGCTCCACACGGTCTCACTTTGACGGCAACATAACTTTCATTTCCTTTTTAAGAATTTCTTTCCTCTATGAGCAAGTACTTCCCACAGGGTCTTCATGCCAAACCACTGGGAAGAGAAATAACAAGCGGTGTCTGGCTGGGTGGCTGGGTGGCTGGGTGGCTGGGTGGCTGCCTGCTACTTGAAAATCACAGCAGGTGTGCGTGTGTGCCCGCTATCCCAAGAGGAGAATGGAGGAGAAGGGATTGTGGTGTGGCCAGCTTCTCAGAGGGTGATTTCTCTCTCTCTCTCTCTTTTTCTCTGTCTCCAGCAAACACACACATCATATAGCAAATTATAAAAAGAAAGAAAGAAAAAGAAAAGAATGGGAAATGGGAAGATGGATTTCCAGGCCAATATGTGAGGGGAGAAGAAAGGGACTGATAAGAAAGCAGGAAGCCGGCACCGCGTGGGTCAGTGAGTCCAGGTGAGCAATGTCTGAAATACCATTTTAATTAGCTTCGTGTTGAGCAGCGTATGGTCGTCCACTCACGCCCACATATTCTCTGACACCGGTTCTTATCAGGTACCCTATGCCAGTGGGTTACAAAGCATGGGCAGAGACAAAAGGAAGACGTTGAAATAAAATTTGGGAACGAGTGGAGGAGTTGGAGTTGGAGCCTGGGCACAGTTCCCCTTGTGAATATGTCCTTCGGGGGTGTGTGGAGACATCAGGAGGGCTTTGGAGTTCCCCAGGCTGTGGAACAGGGATGTGACGTGATTGTGTTTGAGAGGTGGGGAGTCAGACCCTGACGTCAGACCGTGCCCTCTGCAGCTCAGCGTCTAGGCTGCGGCCACGACAGCAGCACATGGGGCTCATTCCAGGATGAGATGCTAACTAAAAGTGACACGTGTGCTTCATAGAAACCGACAGCCCTACCTCAATGTAACTGGTATTATTTTTGCAGGTAAAGCAGGGGTGGGGAGAAGTCCACACGCACCCACAGCCAAGCAGAAATCAGCCTGCATTCTAGCCAATGGGGGGTATGAGAGCAGCCTTGCTCCTGGTGAAGCAGCAGGACTATCTGCCTCTTTCCAAAGTTCACATTTGAGAACAACCCAGTAGGTTAGTGCCTGAGCAGGTGACAGCAGATCGTACCTAGTGGAGGTCCTTCTGTGTGGCGGTTACCTCTAACGGTTCGGCCAAGTACCCCAGAAGGTTTAAGAACAGCATGTGTCTTGACACAGGTAAATGTCTGTATTTTATACATGTAAGCTTATTGTTACCTACTATTATCAGTTATGAATATGATTTGATTTTAGATGGTGAGATGGGCACCAGCAGTTGGCATAATGGCTATGTTGCTGGACTCCCATGTAGTCGATCGTGGTTCGAGTTCTGGACCTGGTGGCTTAAACTCACGCTAGGCGCATGTGCGTGTGTGCCCAAGAACCCAAGAGGAAAATGAAGGAGAAGGGATTGTGGCATGGCCATCCTCCCGGGGGGATGATTTCTCACATTCTGTCTCTTTGTCTCTCTCTGTAGGTGAGATGAATGTACGTACTTATGTTTAGGATTTAACAGTCCCTTTGCACATACCCATGGGTCCGTTTGTGTATTCTCTGGGGTGCAAACATCTCTTGGGATACTCTTTGGAACAGACACATAGATTACCAGAGGGGTATGTGGGCTGGCCCAAGAGGACACAGGAAGGTGGAGGGGAGTAGAGGATTTCTCTTTGGCACCACCCACGTACTGCCACTGGACGTCCCAGCAAAGCTTCTGGAGGTACGCACACCTACATGGTGAGTATGTGGAGTGTTCCCTCTTCAGAAGCAAATCCTCCAGTTTGTATTGACCCCTCAACCCCTCAACCATGAGACAGCAGACTCTTCTCCGGGGAGTGGGACTAGAGTCCCACCTGGGGCTCCTCCATCATCTTTGCCGTGAAAGGTGGACACAGATGCTCTTCCGCCTCGCAGGCAGCAGGGCTCCATGACCTGGTTTCCACAGACACTGCGAGGTGCTTGGGAGAGAAAGGGCCTCCAATAACACGGGCTATACTGATTTGTAGCTTCGCTTTTCAGAAGAGAAGAATGAACGTTGCTATTCCAGTCTTCTGTGCCGCTAACAACAACAATACCCGAGACAGGGAGATTGACAAGAATAAAGGTTGGGGCCAGCCAACCTGGTGAAGGCGTGGTGGCTAAGGCGGCTGGATCCCACATGGCCGACTGCATGGCTGGACTTCTGGATCTGGCTGCTTGAAAGACATACCTGGTGTGTGTGTGCCTCAAACCCTGAGAGGAGATGGAAGAGAAGACATTGCAGCATGGCCATTCCCCCCGGGGGTGCTTTCTCACTCACCTGCTCTCTCTCCGGTGAGTGCATTTTCCTATAGCAAATTTAAAAAAAGAAAGAAAGAGATGGACAAAGAATAAATGTTTATGTAACACAGGATTTTGGAGGTCCAAGGCTGAGAGAGTCTTGTCACTGGTAGAGACTCTGCAGAGTCCCTGATCAGTGCAAAGCATCGCATGGCAACAGAGCCATGTCCGGGACTCAGACTGCGATCAGCCATGTGGGAGTCCAACATCTTAACCACCATGCCACCTGCTGGCCTCAGGGCTTTGTCATCATTAAGATCAATTTATTAAGCTTTTACTAGCACTGACAGGCACTAAGGGAGATATAAGAAAAGTGAAAAAGAAAAACAAAAAAATGAAAAACACAGCTCATTTTTCAAGGAATACATGGATAAAAAACAACACGTACCTATAAGTCTGATCTCCAGGGACATGCTGGCGGACTTTGGCCAAATGCTCTACATTGTGCCATGGTCCATATTCACTACAGCAGCCCCAAGGAGAGGGTGCCTGCATGCTATGTGCTCTCGTATGCTTTTTTTTTTTTTGAGAGGTTTTTGTAGTAAGGCATTGGAATTTGCCAGAAAGACAGAGAGAGAGAGAAAGAGAGACAGAGAGACAAAAAGCGAGAAATCACCCCCCGCCCCCGGGGGGATGGCCACACCACAATCCCTTCTCCTCCATTCTCCTCTCGGGATCTTGGGCACACACACACACACACGTGCCTGGCATGAGTTTAAGCCACCGGGACTGGGATTCAAACTGCAATTGACTACATGGGAGTCCAGCAACATAGCCATTTGCTATCTGCTGGTCCCCTCATGTGCTCTTATTGCCTTCTAGACTCATGCCAAGAAGAAGGTGCTCTATTTCATAGACATGGAATTGAGGCTCAGAGGCTCAAGGATTCCCATGAGGCCAGCTTGGATGTGGGATCGGAATGAGGTGCATCTCTGCTTCAGTCACGTCACAAAGAGACAAGGGAGACAGCAGATCCGGGAACGTTTTCCTCTCTGTGTTTTGGTCTAACCAAGGATCTCAAGAGGGCTGGTATGAAGGGACGGTGAGAATGTGGCAGCAGAGACCCCGACAAAGGCAAGGTAAGGGAGTGGATAGGACCAGCAAGGCAAAATAGAAAAAGGAAAAAGGAAAGAAAAGGAGACATCGATGGACCCAGAATATGCATCTAAGGAAACCCAATGCCTGGATGACTCACCGGAGCACTCAGTATTTATATTCATATCTATATTTCATATCTCCAGGTTTTCTGAAAAGCATTTACGGAGGTTAAACATAAAATATGTGGAATAAAAAGATTAAATGGAAGTTTAAGAATCATGCAGAAAAAGGACGTCACAGATGCTTGTCATCAAAAACCCAAACTAGGGAACCAGCAGTTAGCGTAATGGCTATGTCGCTGGACTCCCACGTAGTCGACCGCGGTTCGCGTCCTGGACCCGGTGGCTTAAAACTCACGCCGGGCGCGTGTGCGTGCGTGCCCAAGATCCCGAGAGGAGAATGGAGGAGAAGGGATTGCGGCGTGACCATCCCCCCTGGGGGGTGATTTCTCGCTTTCTGTCTCTATGTCTCTCTCTGTCTGTCTGGCGAGCGCACGCGCCCTATAGCACAAACCTCTCCAAAAAAAAAAAAAAAAAAAAAAGAAAAAAAAAAACCAAACTAAAATTCCCTGTAGTTCTCAGATGCCTGGCAGGCAGTGCAAAAAGGAAAACTCTGCATAATGGATCATACCTTTTTATCAAGTGATAAACAAGAATCATGGCTTTTGCTTTTTTTCTTTTCAAGTTTTTGCCATAAGGCTTGTGCATTCTCCAGGTAGACAGAGAGACCCAGTGAGAGGGAAAGGGAGAAATTACCTCCTGGGGAGTCGGCCACATCTTGCACACACACACACACACACACACACACACACACACACACACAGTGAGTTTCAAGCCGCTGGGTCCAGGACTCAAACCACAGCCAGCCACATGGAAATCAGTGCCTTAACTACTGCGCCATCTGCTGGCCCCATCATGGCAGTTTTAAAGTGTCATTGATCTGTTTGGCTCATTATGAAGTATTTCTTTAAGCACATGCCTGGCCCACAGAGAGTGAAAACATAGCACAGGTCAAGTCTGCAGCGGAATTCTTTCTGGAGTGGTGGTCTTGGTGAGCCCCTACTGCATTCCGAACCCTGGAGACGGTGCTTGTCAGTGACACAGGCCTGTGCTGTCCAGATCCATCTCCTCATGTGGGCTCTGTCCAGCGAGCAACCCTGGGGAGACAATGCTCCTCAGCTTCTGAGCTCATCCAGGATGGGCCCGGAGATCGCTGGGGCAAGGCAGTGGTATAGAGTCCAGACAGCTTCTGTCCAGTCTGAGTTTCTTCCAGCAGCTGTCTTTGCTCCAAGCTCCCCAGCTTGTGGGCACAGACTTTGCCAGGTCTTCACTGTGACCACAGATGTGCCCCCCAACGCGTTTTCTCTCCATTTTGGCTCTGCAAGCCCTCAGTAAACTTTGCCCTCCCAACTCCACCCCAATGTCCACTTCTCCGAGAACCTGATCTGCAAGGGTGACTTACTAGGAATGCTATCCCTAATTTTATTTATGAGGACTAGTCGCATCCATGACCCTACGCTGGCTTTAGAGACTGGCCTCTCTGTTATAAACTGCAGTGAAGTGCCAGCAGTTTAGTCTGGTCCCAGGGAGACTGTTCAATATTACAGACTCCCTAGTGAGACTCAATAAAACGGCAAGGAAAAAAATGGCTTGGGTACTTTTTATCTCATTCCTTCCCTTGATCAAGTATTTCCCTTTTAACTCGGACTACAGGTAACATATTTGCTAGCCTGTCCTCCCTTCTAAATATCTGATCTTTATGTTTTTTCCCCCCTGAACTGGCAAGTTAGCAGTTGCTTTCCCTCATAGTCACAAGCTAATACTCCCTGACAACTCCTAAGTCTCCCTAGTAGATTTCAAGGAGGAGATTGACCGAACCCAAGCGATGCATCCATGGTCTTGCTCATGAGTATTTGAAGATGGAGATTCAAACCTCGTTCTTTGAACAGCGAATCCTGAACCCCAAAGGCCTTGTTCAGTTGAGGCCTTACTCTGAACACCGTGAACTCAGACCGAGGCCAGGCAACAGTGGCCACAGGCGTCCTCTATTGATAATGCAGTCACCCCGCCTCCCGGCAGCGCCTGTTAGCACCCAAGGAACAGACTGCACTTTTCATGAAGAAAAGGCCCTTAGTGAAGTCTAAGTTTCCTCCCCCCTTCCTCCTGGAGGCTGACATCAATGCTACTTGGTTGACTCACATCTCTCTCCTGTTGGCATTGACATGCCACCTTCTAGAACACCCTGACTCTAGTCACCATGGGACCCACAGTCCCCAAAGAGCAGCCATATCTTTCTCAGATGGACTTCTGAGTAGAGTCGTGTAAAACGCAAGCTGGTCTGGTTTCCAACTTGGAGCACACACACTCACACACACACACACACACATTCACGCCATTCACACCGGCCCTAAGGCAGAAAGGGACTAGGACCTGGTCCCAGGATGTGTCTGGCTAGGAATAGGCTAAGACCCTCTTGGGCTTTTCACTGACATAAGTAAGAGCCTCACAGGGATGCTCCTTAAGCTGACAGGCCACCAGGAGGGCATTGCTTTTCATTTAATGCAACAATGTAGTCATTACAAGCCTTCTGAACTCACTGGCCTGCAGGAACAAAGAATTCTCCCTGGGAGAATGTCAAGGAGCCAGATGGACCCAGCCCCCTGTCCCCTGCTTTTCTCCACGCCCCCATCCTCAGCCAAAATAGAGATGTGGATTCATTTCTCTCTGGATGAGGATGGGGAGTAAGATGGCCGGAATGAAATCATTTTCTTTTCTCTGGAGAGGAAATCACAACTCCCTTGCCATACGTAGCTCGAACTAAAGAAAAGCGCAGAGTGGCCCTTAGGAGTTCTGTTCACGTTAAAGACACGTGCGCATGCACATTTGCACCAACACAGAGAGCTCTTAATTCTATGCTTGGCCCTTACTTCCGTCTCCAAAATCTGTCAACCAAGAAATGAGAGCTTGTGTCCAATATGTTACTGGAAACCAACTCCTATAAACCCGGCCCAGGCCACGTGTTTTTCTCCGAGTGCCTGATTGGGCTCCAGCTGAGGGTTTGTTGAGCTGCGCAGGGTGTGCGAGGAATTGCCCAAGGTTCCAAATATTTATTTCCAGGACTAGCCGCGGGCAACAGCATCTGACGCTGCCCTTGGCCGCCTGGCCATTCTTCCTGACAATGGGCGGATGGGGGGCAGGACTGTTTAACTGTTTACTACTTCAAGACATTTTAAAAGGTAATGAATGTACAAACAGCCCAGAGAAAAAGAGCCCTGGGTAAGGTGGCTTAGAGTCAGGATAGAAAATTCAAACAATATTAGCCTCAAAAAGTCAACACGAGACACCCTTCTACTAAGGGCCTACAAACAAACAGAGTTGCTCTGTACACACATTAACAGACGCAACTGCACGCTGCTGTGGCTTCCACCTTCGCAGCGCCTTGGGTTCATACACACATTAGTATAGGACTCAGAAGTTTCTAGAACTCAGGGGCTTTGTCTCTGGAGACCTTCCAGTGTGAGGACTTTTGCACTTGCTTTGTCCAGGGCAGACGAGGGCAGGAGAGAAATTCAGTCAGGCTGGGCTGAGAAGCATCTGGCCCTAAGACGGCGGGATGCTCCGGGGTGTAGCAGGTAGGGTGTCAGGTGTTTATTTTCCACTTCTCACAGTTCCTAGAGACCATGAGCTACAAAACAATTGTCCTTTTTTCTGCATCTCACATAGTCAAAAGGCAGAGTTTACACCATCTGTTTGTTTGTTTTG